GGCCCGACCAATCCCATGGGTCACTCAGGAGTCCGGACACCCATAGCTATGCGAGAGCGAGCTTGCTCATCTCCCAAAGAAATCAAGCATCTCTCACGCTCTTGCAGCAACAACAACTGCAACAGTGAGCACGTCGATGTCCCAGAAAATGGGATGGCCATAGACAACCACAAAGCACCAATCCAGGACAACGACAAGCTTAACAACAGTACCTGGGCATAGCCCGCAGATTTCACGTCGAAGATTAGCCATTCGGGTATTGCTGTTAACTCGGCCTCGAGTTACCGATCGGCCAATGAACTTGAGATCGACATCAGCCAGTTGGAGGGGCCAAAGACGGAGGAAATGGGGGTAGTGGCCGTACACTCGCCGGGGGCACGTCATCACTAAGGCCGCGTGGGGCCTGTCTCACCACGGCCGTCCCGCACGCCCACCCACGCACACGGAGATAGCCCACCCATTTTGCCTTTAGGTGGGCTCTGCTCACCGCGGTCGTCCCGGAAGGCCATGTTCAACCTGCGCGACATCAATCAGTTGGAATGGAAAATGTGCCAATACCTCAACTAGGAGCTCAAAGTGCACTGTGAGCAACGATTGCTTTCATACCTTCATAGATATACGCAGACTTTCTGGAGGGACCTCGTTCAGGAATCAGGCTACCTGTGATGACCTGCAAGACATTACAACGTGAAGTAATATCATACTCTGACATGATTTCCATGAGATCGTGTATCGCGCGACTACTTCTTCTGGGGTGTTTTGAAGGTGGCCTTTTTACCAGCGACTGTGTCGATACCTGCTGAGTGCGAAATGTACCAATACCTGGATTGGGAGCTCAATGCCAACTCTCCCTCCCTCGCCTCGGGTTCCAGGGCCCCTTCGTCACATCGGGCCTATTTTGCCGTTATGGCAAAAGCATAGGAGTGTTGCAGAGGTGCTGGTGCGATGATGGGAAACACAATAAAATGAGAGCGAGGGGTGGCATCCAGACAATCTACTCAAGATATATAGATCATTATTTTAAGCGGGATGACATGCATAATTTTTTTTTTCATTGTACCTATTGCTACAGTATTCAAGACGTACAGTATAATACCTCAAGTTGCAAGAGTCAAATGGCTGCTTATATATTATATTCCTGAACTCACAATGAACGTACATCTACGGATAATAATTTCATTACATGCCATGATTTACAAGCACATTGTAGGCTCTCCATCCGAGATAAGTAAGCCTGGATGGTGTCATCGTTTCGACAGTATTAATCCCCAAACAGAGTTTGCATAGAAAAAACAAGTACAAAAAGTGTTTATTACTGAGATGATGATATAAAAGTAGTAATGTATCCATTCATACAAACGACATCAGGGGGTACTTTATGAGATGCCAGCATCTTGAGCACTTCATCTAGTTTGTATTTAAGGCGGCAGAAAGCCTCAACACCTTTGAGTTACACATTGCTCTGTGAGATTGTCTCGCAGAATATAAGCTAACCTCATTGTAGTATTATCATACCATGTCTACTGCACTTGCAAGCTCATTTGTCTATCCACTTGGGCTCCCGGTTCTGCAAGGGAGCCATGCATGTATCTCTGCTATATCTTCCAGTGCGAGCCAGATGCGCCTGAGATGCACAGGCAAGGTGCCCAATGAAAGATACTGGCGGAATGGCGGGGCAATCAAGTAGAGGATGGACGGAAGCTACCTAGAAATTACCGGAGTGGGGTACATATCACACGGGTTCTCATAGACTAGTTCTGCATAACACAAATAGTGGTCTGCTTGATTTTATATTAATGCCGAAAGTTCATCCTGAGGTTGTCGCAATGGCTCCAGTGACGCTCGTTGCACTCACCACTAGACCTCTGCTATGCGATGGCGGTTAATTTCGTGGGCGTGTCATTTCGCTCACATAATCGGCCGACGTCGAAAGAAGATAAACGAGACACGAGATATGTAGATAGACCACCGGATGAGTCAGAAACCCTGGGCCAAGACTCGGGCACCAGAAGTTATAATGGAATAGGGCCGTGCGAATGAAGCACAGCAACACCCATCACCGATTTGTTTTTGCAATTATAACCGGCACCAATGAATCAAAATTAGATTGAATGCATATCGGTAGATCAGTAATCAATTGGTAATCAACGTTCAACGGTCAGATGCTACAGCGTGATTAGATGATGCTCAGGTCACAACATTAATGTTCTATGCAGAGGACACCTCCTGAGCAGTTCTAGGGAGGGATCATGGTGCCATTCCAGGATTGAGGTGACCTGCTTCGCGCTGATGCAAGGGGTGTGTGTGACTGGGCGCTGCAGGAGACATTGAAAGTGGGGATAAGGGAGTGGTCAAATGCATTATATGAAGTTCAACAGGAGTGGCTGGAGATGGAAAGGAGGCCAGATTTACCAGCAAAATGATGGTGTTGTGGTAGGTAGCGGTGTTACATGGAGGATCTTGGATTTCACAATTAGAAAAGGTGTGTGATACGCTGATAGCGCTCAGGTAAGATTTCTCGCTTCCTTTATACTAGTAAATACATTAGGAGTACTTCTGTAGCTCCTGTACTTGTATTTAGCTTCTGATTCTCTAATATATAGCTTCTGCTTCCCGAGCCTTGGCCCAAGGCTTCTGACTCCTCTAGTGGTCTATCCGCCCATCTCGTGTCTAATTATCTTATCTTGGCATCGGCCAATTACATGAACATGATGACAGGCTCACAAACTCAACAGAGGATGTCATAAGTATGGTATGCAGAGCAGTTAGGAGGGGGAGTCGAGCAGGACAGAGAGGTCGGGTTTGGAAAAGGTTTTCGGAGTTGTAAAGTGGGGTGCGACACAGCAATTTTGTAAGTAGAGACCGCATAGGGTGGGTAAGGAAATGCATGTGGAAACATGAGGAGCAGAAGACAGACGTAGTTATTTGGACACCATCCATATGTGTGTAGGTAGGCGGTCAGGCGCTCGGCGGAGGGCTATTGGGCACATTGAGAATGAATTGGTGGTTAGTGGCAGCAGCAGCTCACTCACCCTGATTGGTGGATGAGGGGTGTCAGTAAGGAGGATGTGTGGATGGATGTCTCCCAGAGAACGAGCGGGCGTCCGGACTCGACTGCTTTGGTAATGTCAATATCCGGCCATTCCACTTCACTAAGAAGTAGGAAGAACTGCAAGACTTGAGACCAACGGATATCTGAGGGTGCTGCTCTGTAGACGGATTGCTTGACCGCAAGAACTACTGGCCCAGAGAAGACTGGCTCAGCGAGGAATGGGATAGGGTTAGGGCCAAGGGTATCAGCCTTCTCAACTAGGAAGTATGACCACCATTGGTCTGCATTCACCACCACAGTTGCATAACCACTGAAGACTGGGCTGTGGATCTTTTTTGCTGATATCGAGGAGTCAATCTTCTCATAGTAGGCAACAAGATGCCTGCCAATGTCAAGCTGAGTACCGTCATCGGGGCTAAAATTCTTCAAGTAGAAAAGTGGAAAGGTGCGGAGCCCAACTCTCGTTGTTGCTGGCTTGGAAAGGTTGTAGAGGTTGACAATCATATCCATAGCCATGTAGAATGGTCACTGGTGGTCAGGGAGGGAAAAATCCATGAGTGAGGAGTGGTGGAGTACTAGTGGTAGAGAAGGAGGGGTGGTTGGTGCAGCAGATAACCAAGAGAACATTAAATATGACACAAGGAGCGGAAGTCGGAGGTTGGTGAAGGTTATGTGGGTAGAGGCACAGCGCAGCAGGATGTCCAATGGGGATATGCTGGGCTGAAGTGGCACCACTGCTCTGGGTTCTGGCGGGTCTCCAGGGTAGTGGCAGCAGAAGCCTATGGGGGAAAGGGTGGCCAAACATAGAGTTTATGCTAGGGGTATAGGGGGGTGGGGGGAGTCTACATGCACAGTAAAGGGGGATATTTTGGTAGCGAGGTCAACATCGGCATGGTCCGGGGCAGATCAGGGGTGTTCATAATGACGGGTTCCATAGTGCAGGCACAAGTGACTATAGCAAGGCCCTGACGGGCAGACCTGGATCCAAAGCATCCAGAGATACAGTCTTCTGGAAGTACTACGAGTCTTACACAACATAAGACTAACACCTAAGATAAGACGATCTGACATGGAACCTGAACATAGGGGCTATCATACAAACCAAGGTTCCAGCGACAATACTTAGTACACGGAAGTTCTATACAGAAGCACCCAAAAATGTCTACATCTGCGCTACAAAGTAACAGGTTGCATACCACTCGCTTATTGTTGGTCGCTCACGAAGATAGGCCATGTTGTTCTCTGATTATGGATGGGTGTGCTAATGAGAGGTCATAATTACAGAATCAATGAGTGTTAGGTGTCAGAGAATCGAAGAGCGCTATGACGGGCTGAGCATATCTCTCAGAGTCCCACTTTTGAATGACAGTGATCGCTACCTGCTGTTCACAAGTGTGTGAATCAAAATTCAAGCCAAAGGATGGTTGATGTTACCTTCCACCCAAATGTGAGAACATCTAATGACATCACAGTCAGACTTCAAGGAGATAAGGACTAATGTTGAAGACATCAAGTTATCTCCCAGAATATTCGCAGTTAAGCTATTCAAAGATGCAACAAGAATGTTTGCTCACATTTTGATTATTGCAATCATAAGGGATGGAGAGGGAAATAGTAATCGTGGAGAAAGCTTTTGTGAATACGAGCTGAGCTGTTTGGACGAGATGATGCAGTGAATACTGAGAGGTCCCGGTAATACATGAAAGTCGTGAATGTCAGAAGTTTATCGGATAAAATGATATGGCAGAAACTATATCAGGTTGAATATACTTATTTTAGGTCAGAAAAGTACCGCTCATTCCACAATTCAAATCAGTGACAGACGAGAGCATTCGACGGGGACATTTGAGCGCTTGAGCATGATGGGCGCACGTAGGAATCGAGCAGTTAAGAAACAAAGGCAAATAACACGACTCGAAAGAAAGATGTGCTGTGCTCAACTGAGATATCGGGGGAAAGCCGATAGGAACCAAATGAACCGAACTGGCTCACAACGGCAACTTCCGGTAAGAACCGCGATCAGATGAAACTATGACATTAGACCTGTCTCCTTTGGATCCAGGAATGCAAATAAGCTGGTGTGATCAAATATGGGAATCATATGAGGGATGTGGAGATATCTATTGTAGAGACTGACATGGGAGGTGGGTAAGGACAGTGTGGGGCAATGCACAGCTGGGGTTTGCAGAGGGTGATCTAGTATAGGATGGAAGTGACGTAGACACAGCAAGTATGGGATAAGCCTGGAGGGGGGGCTATGGAGGTCGAGGCAGGGGGTAGCAGTGGTTAAGCAGTCACACTCGGGGCTGCACAGAGGGAAGGGGGTGGTTAGGCCAAGGTTGGGGAAGGCAGGGAGGAGACAAACCACTTGTTTGACCACTAGAGTGGTAGCAGAGGGGGAGTCGGGGAAATGGTTGACTCGTATCCGACTGATGAATTTTGACCGTCCCACCTGTACCTCCAACTGGTATGTCGGAAAAAGCCAAATGGGGTTTGAAATGGTTTCCTATTTAGACAGGTTTTCAATTTCCGTTGCAAAGCGATGCGAACATTGAAATTCCATTGGACGAGGCTGCTTTCCATCATAAGGGTGTTGTCAATTAGTTCTCAATTCCATGGCAATCACTTTAAAATAGCTATCACAATGACCAAAGGGTCCCATTGGAATGTATTTTAATTCTTGATTCATTGTGAGGCGATTTCAATACATTTCAATTATATGGCCATATTCCTGGGATTTTTCTGACATATCCATCAGGAGGGGCTGAGGGGTGGTCCCTATACTTGAGCTGGTGATGGCGATGGAATTTTTCCAGCATGTATGGTGGCACCATCTGAGCGGCACCGCTAGGGACAGCGATGACAACTTTGGAGGAGATGAGGGGTGCAGCAAGGAAGGGAACAGGGTTAGGGTCTGCTCGGTCAGCACCCTCCACCAGCAAGTACGTCCAATCAGCAGTGGCATTGACCACCACAGACACAAAGCCGGTGAAGATAGGAGGGCTTTCCACTTCACCAGGGGCCCTAGTATCAATGATGTCAGAGTATGCCACAATGTGCATGCCCTCCAAGAACTGACGACGACTCGTGATGCTGATGCTGCGGATATGGAAGAGTGGAAAGGTGTGTAATCCTACTCGTGTCGTAAGAGGCTTCTCATAGTGGTATACAGTGAGAGTGGTGTCCATGGCTGCATACAGGGGTCCATCTCAAGATAACGGGGTGTGTGTCATGGTGTCAGGGGATGGCAGTGAAGTTTTAGTGAGCGCATCAACAGATAGGGTGCAGAGGGCGGCATATAAGTGTCGCACAACATGATGTAAAGAGCAGTAGTGAAGGAGAGGCAGGCAGGATGTCATGCAACATAGGAAGAAAACAGGGGGAAGGGGGCCACCCTATCTGTGCTGTGGACAAGTTGTCTTCTGTATCCTTACCTGGCCAGGATTTGCGGGGTACACAGCTAGCAATAGTTGGCAGTGTATCATTCGGGCATGCTAGGGCAGCGGGCGGGGGGTCAGGATAAAGTTTTTGGGATGTATTAGGTGGCAATTGTAAGGGCACAGAGGTTGCCAGTCCCACTATCTCAGTGGATGCAGTGGATCTGGTCCAGGCGTTCAATGTGGCGCCGTCACACCGCTGTGGGAACAACGGTTCAATAGAGCATCCCAGGAAGAGTTTCTACCCAGAAGAAGGGGGGAACAACGGGCAAAGGTGGTCTTACAGGAAAAGAGAGGGGGGAGTTGGGTGCTTGGGTGAAAAGATGGTGGTCAGGCAGATCACACCCGGTGAGCAGAGCAACACTGCAGTGTGGGTGTTTGGGGCCTATAGAGCAAGTACATAGCCCAGGCCAAGGCTAGCAAGGGACTTGATGTGTATGCCAAGGTGGTGCAGCATTTGTAGGCCACTACATACTGACAACATGCATTGGGGTGCACTCATTATTTAAGTTGTACTCATGCAGGTGCACTAATTATGAGGGAATGTAGTAGCATAGGCATAGGTGTAGGTATAGGTGGGGGTTCTCAGTTTTGGTGTGAGGCCTAGTTGCGATGAACAACACATCACACACCCTGGTGCGGACATGGCGGGAGCTCTTTGAGAGAGATGCCCACCCTGTACGTGGTGGTACAGAACCCCCTCTGATACATGCATGTGAGCGAGGGACAGATCTGATGTCTGTTACTGTTATCCCCCGCCAGAAGAGACAGCCAAATTCCCGTAAGTCCTGGAATATTTTCCTCGCATGCCCGTCCTGTGAAATAAGGTTTGAATCATCCACGAGACCCAAGCTAATACTGAAAAAATCCACAAAGTGCCAAAGTGGACGGATTCCCTACTATACGAGCATCAGTGGATTTTAGAACCGAGGACCAACCACTGTCAGACTGTACAGTCTGCATGGGAGCCGATATTGGTAATAAGCCCATATTAGGCAGGGTATTGGTGGTAGCCAAGCCATAAAAGGAGAATCAAGGTGTTATTACTGAGCCAGATTCACCGATACAGCGGCTATAAGATTATAGTGAGCCTTGAGAGGGCACTCTGTCATTGGTCCAAAATATTGAGGGCTTGTGCTTTCTGGTTGTGCCCAGTTTTGTTTCAGTGGGGGTGGAAGGTGTTAGATCAATATATGATTACTCTTTTGTTCACAACCTGAGGTTATTTCACAGCTGGTTATTGACCCAAGCTCAATTTTTTTTTTCAAAAGTGCCCATTTTCTGTCTTTTGAGCCATGTTACTTCATTCCTAGACATCCCCTTGCAAATCCAATGCAGGATGATATGGAATGGCATGGGATCATAATTATCATGAATTTAGTTTGAGAGTTTTGCGGGGGAAACAGCCACAAAAGACATTTGTACATCCTGGCAGTGGTGTACATTCTCACGGGGGATGACAGTACACATGAGTCACATGATATTTTGGCAGAGGAATGACTCTACCAGCCAAACAGGTTATGAGATGAGGCCCCCTTGAATCCCAGTTACCTTATGCGGTAACGGGCATTTATTGGAGAATTGGAAGCTAAATACAAGTACACCGCCGGTTGAGCTAGGAGTGCCTGGGATATGATTAGGCGCGTTTCCAAGGCATATCGCCCAGATTACATGGTGAGCACATTTCAGCCGCCCCTTCTTTCACTCGCACCACCACCATCCCCCCGTGGGAACTTTTTCTCTCCTCCCCCTCCCCCACTAAATTATTAGCGA